CCTCTCTTGCAGAACTACGGCAGCGGGATGCGGCCCCCGCCCAACTCGCTGGGCGGCCCCGGCATGCCCACCATGAACATGTAAGGCACCTCTCCCCCCCCCCCCCCCGTGCCCCAGCCACGCCTCCCTGCCCCCCACAACCCACAGGGAGGGGCACAGAGCCAGCCCAGCGCCTGCAGGGTGGGTCATGCCCTGCGCCAGGCGCTGCAGATGGGCTCCCAGGCACTGGGCAGAGCTCCCAGCCGAGCCGCATGCCGCCCGTCTGCTCCCGGCCATGGTCTGGGGCCTGCAGCCTCGCACCTGGCAGTGGCCCCTGGCCCAGCACCCAGCACGCGCCCCCGCCCCCCCGCCCCGCCCCGCCCTGCCCAGCGGAGCCAGAGCAATTGGCAGGCGTCCAGGCTGTCCCAGCGCCATCAGATACCCGGTACAGACACACAGATCTGGGGGTGGGTGGGCAGGTTTCGGGGGAGGGTGGGATGAGTCCATGGCTGGTGAGAAAACTGGGCGCCCCCCCCCAAAATCATCCAAGTGTCCCAGCTGCCCCGTGCCACCCTGCCCTATCCTCAGTGCAGGGGCGCCCCCCGCAGGACAGGGCCCACGCAGCAGTGTGGGGGGGTGTACAGGGACCCTGGGGAAGTGCCAACCTCAGGCCTGTTTGTGTTTCAGGGGCCCAGGAGGGCGAGCGCCGTGGCCAAACCCCAACACCAACTCTGTGAGTCCTGGGGCGGGGGGGGGGGAGAGGGCGGTGGGGGCCGGGCAGGGGGGGGGGGGGGGCGGGGGGGGGGGCATGGCCAGGCACAATGCACGGGGGGGCACGGGGCCGGGCACGATGCACAGGGAGCGCACGGCCAGAGACGCTTCCCGTGCGCTCGGTGCTGACTCGTCCCCTCTCGTCCTTCCACAGATCGCGTACTCCTCCTCGTCACCCGGGAGCTACGTGGTGAGTACCGCAGCCGCAAGGGGGCAGGGAGGTGCCCTGCACCTTGGGGGCAGATTGTGCCGGCCGGGCGCTGGGGGGATTCTGCCTGGGGCCAAGGCTCAAACGGCTCCTGGGCCTTTTGCTCTTCTCCCGCAGGGCCCTCCAGGAGGCGGCGGCCCCCCCGGAACCCCCATCATGCCCAGCCCAGGAGGTGAAGTATCCGCATGGTGCGGGGGGGGGGGGGGGGGGGGGGGGGGGGGGGGGTTGCCCCCCCCGGGGGGGAAAAGCAGCGGACACGTCTATGCCTCTCGCTGGGGGGCGGGGGGGCTGCAGGGCCGGTGAGCTCCTG